CCCCCGCCAATTTTTTAAAAGAGTATAGTTTCATAGAAAATCTCTTATTGGACTGCAATTGGGGTATAAACCATTTGAATTATGGTGAAGGAGTCATTTCACTAGGATTTTAGTGAGGTTCACTTTCAAAAATATGACAGTGAGGAATGTAGAGGGCACATTTGAACAGCACAGTGTATTGACACACTTGTTCATTATTCTATTCATATGTTTATTCCATAAGTATTTAAGTGCCACAGCCTGAGGTAACAGTGGGCCCAAAAGACAGAGAGGAAAGTGAGGCCCTGGGCCTAAGACTGCTCCCTGGCACAGGTGAGAGGTGGGCTCTCAAGTAGTGTGAAGTGAGTATGAATGTTGCTCAGGAGGCACAGTCAGTACCAGTGTCCAGAGGACAACAGATTCAGAATTGCCTGGCATTGCCAAACTCTCTCCATTGGTATGCCATTGTGACCAGCAGACCAAGAGAACCCAGAACTATTATTAATATCAGAGATGTAAAAGAGCTGCTACTTTGCTAGGAGTATATGGGGCAGAAAATGAAAAAAGTGATCATAGACACATTGTTGAATAGGCAGGGTTAGTTGGAAATATTGGTGATGTATATTGTTTAAAATATTTTTTTAGTTGTAGTTGGATACAATGCCTTTATTTCATTTATTTATTTTTGTGTGGTGCTGAGGATCAAACTCAGCGCCTCGAACATGCTAGACAAGCGCTGTACCACTGAGCCACAACCCTAGCCCCACTGATGATATTATGGAGAAGAATGACATGGGAATCATAGGCTCAAAGTACTAGAGGGCCCATGTTATCTCTTCAGAAGGTCTTATACACAAAGAAAGTCCTTTCTCTTCTTTTGGGGGCAGAATAATTGTCTGCCTCAGTGTGTCCAATACTTGTGCCATGAACACATATTAAACATACAATATGTGAAAGGTGGTCTGCTACAAGAACTTTACTTGTTGCAGTAGTGGGGACTGAACCCAGGAATTCTCTACCACTGAGCCACACCCCCAGCCTGCCCCCTCCCACTTTTTTTTTTTTTTTTAATTTTGAAACGGGGTCTCATTAATAATGTCACTGAGGCTGGCCTGGAGTTTATAATCCTCTTGCCTTAGCCTCTGGAGTTGCTGGGATTGCAGGCATGCACCCCCATAACCCGCTGGTGTGAGCATTTTAAACAACAGTTATTAAAAAGTTCCCCAGACTTTCTGGGCCTGTAGTCTAGGTGAATTAACTCTTGCTTTTCGAGCTGGGTTTGTGTGATGTTGCGTCTGCTTTCATTTGCTTTACTCCACTGTGTAGAACAGGGCTAATGTGCTTCAACCAGTTGTGTAATTTTTTTCCAGAAATTGAAAAATAGAACATTTTATTGATCTGAAGGGTATCTCATTTCCATTGGTCTTCCTTTCTCTAATTTTACTCTTTTGCTGTAGGTGTTAATTTCAGAACCTGAACTTGGAAGTTGGGAGTTGGGGTGAGAGATGAACAGAATAGATTTGGAGTGGGAGACACAAAGAAATGCAGGGTGGTTAAAAGGCACTGAGTTACTTATTATCCTCTCTGATCTTTGGTTGCTACTTAGACATCATTTAGGAGCTCTCTTTTCTTAGCTTTCATGAAATGTAAACTCCCAGTTTTTTATTAACTTATTTTTTTTTAAATTTATTTTAAATTGACAGTTAAAATTATATTTATGGTGTACCACACGATTTGCCAACTCCTTTGCATTGTTGGCTTTTTTTTTCTCTTTCCATTTCAGAGCAGGTGGGACCTTTGCAACTCAAGTTATGTATCTTAATATCTTAAATATTAAAATATTTAAACTATTCTTAATTATGTTCTTAATTATGTAATTAAATGGTTTTCTCCAATAAAAAAAAATTAAAAAACAAAGCTGGGCATTTTAGCCTGCATCTGGAGTCCTGGCTGCTTGAGAGGGTGTGGTGGGGAGGATTGCTCAAGTGCAGGAGTTGGGAGTCAGCCTGGGCAGCATAAAGAGACCCTGTCTCAAAAACAAATCAAACTCCCCCCCAAAAAAACCCCCAAAACCAACCAACAAGCAAACAATAACAACAACAACAACATAAAATCAAAAAACTTAAAAACTATACATTTATCTTCTTTTTTTCTCTTTTTCCAGTACTGGAAATGAACCCAAGACCTTGGGCTTACTAGACAAGTACTCTGCTACTGAGCTAAGTCCCCTAAAAACTATATATTCAGACAAAATAAAACAGGATATAGGGCTGGGGATATAGCTCAGTTGGTAGAGTGCTTGCCTTGCCGTGCACAAGGCCATGGGTTCAATCCCTAGCACCACAAAAAGAAACAAAAAAACCCGACTGATACAATGGCACACATCTATAAAATCCTAGCTACTCAGTAATCTGAGGCAAGAGAATTGCAAATTCAAGATCAGCCTCTGCAACTTAGTGAGAAATTGTCTCAAAAAAAAAATAAAACAAAAAATGGAAGGGATGTAGTTTGGTTGTAGAGCACTTCTATGCTCAATATTCAGTACTACAAAGCAAAACAAAATCCCCCAAACATAACAAAACAACAACAAACCCAAACTAACAAAAACAAACAAAAAATCCAGGGTATATTACAAATTTATGAAGCAATAACTTAGTTCATATAGTGCAATAAAGGTAGAGTAGTCTATTTCATGTTGCTATAACAGAACCTGAAACTGAGTAATTTATAAAGAACAGAATTTTACTTCCTCACAGTTCTCTGAAGATTGGGAGGTCCAAGGCAAAGGTACCTTTTTTTTTTTTTTTTTTGCTAGAGGCTTTCTTGCTGCACCCCTCACATGGTGGAAGGTGAAAAGGCAAAAATGGCTCCACTCCCTATGACCAGCCTTTATGGCATTAATCCACCCAGGAGACCTCATTACCTAAACACCTCCCGAGGTCTCACTTCCCAACATTGTTGCTTTGAGGATTAGTTATCCAACATGACTTTTGGACACATTCAATCCACAACAGCAATCAAAATACATAATATTTGAAGTTTCTACACCAAAGGAGTCTCCTTCCCATAGACATTAGATCCTTCCAAATCTTTATCTGATCTGCGGCACTTGAAATTTGTTAGCCCTTTAACTCAGAGACAGTTCATCTCAATAATGATGAAGACAAACAGATGGTCTGTTGGAAATCATTCCAAGTTTGTTGAGCAAAGACTAAGACTCATTTGTTTTCCTAGTAAAGCTGTTAGATCATTGATGGGACTATTTTGCTTTGGTTGATCTAGCTCATGAACCACATCTCACTTCACAAGGTGGCCAGATGTGTTTCTGTAGTAATGATGGTGGCTGCAGTACTGAGCTTCCCTTTGTCTACCAATAAGAATTCCACTGGATGTCCCACTACTTCTCACTTAATGTGTCCTTTCAAATTGATGCTAACAGCTAGGTGTAATGGCACACACCTATAGTCCAGCTACTGGGGAAACTTAGGCAGGAGGATCACAAGTTCAAGGCCAGCCTGAGTAAATTAACAAGACCCTAGCTAAAAATTAAAAAATAAATAAATAAATAAAAAGAAGAGTTTACCTCAGTGGTCAGCACATCCCTGGGATCAATACCTAGTACTGCTGGGCTGGGGATGTGGCTCAAGTGGTATCGCGCTCGCCTGGCATGTGTGTGGCCCGGGTTCGATCCTCAGCACCCCATACCAACAAAGATGTTGTGTCCGCTGAGAACTAAAAAATAAATATTAAAAAATCTCTCTCTCTCTCTCTCTCTCTCTCTCTAAAAAAAAACCAGTATTGCTGATAAATAATAAAGAAATAATTTTAAAATATAATTTTTTTCTGACACAATTGACTCAGCATTATTTTGACACCTAGAAATTTTACTTTTTACTCTGCTTCAATTTCTACTTCTAATAATAAGATCATACCACAGAAGAATTGGAAGAGAACTTTTAATTCAGTCTACCCTTTCTCTGATTCCATACTTCCCCTTGCTCTTTCCTGCTTGCTCTGTCTGAGGGGCAGTGACCTTAAAGTCTGCTGCATCCAATGAGAATCTTATGGTCTGTGGTGTTTGGGTAACTTTTTCCTGGAATTTAACAATACTTCACACTAGACAGGTGCTTAGTCAGCTTTTTTGGCATTTTCACTTGGACTATTCCAGTCTCCCTGGTACCAAAACGACATAAAGATGTCACAAGAAAGGAAAACTACAGACCAATATTCCTTATGAATATATATGCAAAAATCCTCAACAAAATACCAGCAACATCAAAATGGATTGTACATCATGTCTAAGTGGTATTTATCCCCAATTCAAGGGGTTCATACATAAAAATCGATGCAACACACCAGAAGGACAAAAAGCCATAAAAAGGAATGAGCTTTGAATATGTGCTAAAACATGGATTGTGTTAGATGAAGGAAGCTCAGCTCACCAAAAGGTCAGAGATTGTATGGTTCTGTTCATATGAAATGTCTGGTAGAGGCAATCCTTCAGTCCTATGGAGATGAAGGCAGATCAGTGGTTTCCAGGGACTTGTGGAAGGAGAGAATCAGGAGTAACTGCTATAGCTTTCTTTTGGGGGTGATTCGAGTGTTCTGGAAATAGTACTGTTGTTGCACAGTCTTATGACTATACTAAACACTGCTGAATTGTATACTTTAAAATAATGAATTCTATGGTGTGAGAAATATATCTCAATAAAAAAGAACTGTATAAGGAGACAGCAAAGATTGCTATAGCACCTAGTACAACATTTAGAGCAAGCAGATACTCAAATAAATGAACTAATGAATGATAAGAATTGTAGTAAATCTTTTTCTAGACCACAAAAGAAGCCATTATTTGTTGAATAATAGGAGAGAAGTGAGCTCCAAGTGTCTTATCCCATGTAATCTCTAAGAAATTCTGTCTCAGCAGTTGCTTTGGTGAAGACTAAGTGCTCAGAGTTGGTTAAGTCTGGATTCTGTTTCCAGCTCTTCCTCCTAAGTATGGCTTTCACTTTACTTTTCAGCATCAGTATGACAGCCTGTTCCACAGTGGCCGCCCTGGGAATGATGCCGCTCTGCCTTTACCTCTACACCTGGTCCTGGGATCTTGCGCAGAACCTCACCATTCCCTATCAGAACATAGGTCTGTACTGGGCTTGGGAAATGTAGCAGTCACGGTAATGGAGATAGTGCTAGGCATCGCTGTTTCTGCAGGGATTTTTATTTTTGTGTTATTTAATTTAATTCCATACATAACCTTACAACATAGATTCTATTACTAGTTTGAATTTCTAGATTTTTGAGGTTAAATTACTGGTAAGAACAGAACTGGAATTCTTTCTTTCTCCCTCCCTCTCTCCCTTGCTCCTTTCTTTCCTTTCTTCTCTCTCTCTCTCTCTCTCTCTCTCTCTCTCTCTCTCTTTCCCTTTTTGTGAGACAGGGCCTCACTAAGTTGCCAAGGCTGACTTGACCTTGCAATCTTCCTGCCTCAGCCTACTGAGTAGCTGAGATTATAGGTGTGAGCTACTGCCCCTGGCTTAGAACTGGAATTCTAACTCAGGAATCTGACTGTAAAGTCCAAGCTCCTAACCCTTATGATGTGTTAGTCAACTTTTGTTATAAATAAACAGCAATGCACATATTCTCGTGAGGCCCYCTGGCTCCCCCCTGTGTGGATATCATGGCAGTTAGCAAAATGGAAGTGAGCATGAGAAAGCAATTGCTCCCTAGTCAGGAAGACAGAGAGAGCTGGCTGGGGCCAGGCTAAGGCTTTTATCATCACTTCTGGGGAGAACCCATCTCTTAACGTTTCCATTTCCCAATATAGCCACTGAGGACCAAGCTTTCAACACATGAACCTCTGGTGAAATAAACAACATCTGAACCTCCGTAGCACACTATTAAGAGATCATTTTCGAAATAATGAAAGCCAGAGATCTTACTTTAAAAGAAAACACAAATCTTAGATAATTAGACTATAAAGCAACCAGACTTTTTTTTTTTTTTTTTTTTTTTTTTTTTGGAGACAGGGTGTCACTGAGTTGCTTAGTTCCTCATTTTTTCTGAGGTTGCCTCCTGTCTCGGCTTCCTGAGCCCCTGGGATTACAGGTGTGTGCCACTGCACCCAGTGCAACTGGTCTCTTTATGATTCAAAATTTACCTGATTCTAGTGGCTCTGATGAGATCTTAATGTCCCATGATCTCACCCTTCACGTTGCCTGTGAGCCTTGACTTTTTCTTACAGATTGAATGTAAGTTATTTGTACTGCTTATTAGAGCTCTTCTGCATATCACAACCACATCCAGATCTCATTAGCTCCTCTCTGGAATGTTATTTCTCATTAAGCTCCAATTTATTCCTAAGATCTCTGTAGACTTACAAGGCTTAGAAAAATGTGGTGAAATGATTTTCCTGTTCTAGTTTCATCAGAGTCTTTGAAGAAGAGATAGAAACTGTGATTCACAGAACTTAGAAGTGTCACCTGGAGTATCATATAAGCATCTTGAGGGCTTCAGTCCGTGGCCCATAGTTCAAAACCATGAACAAAGCCATCTCCTGATAAGAAGAGCCCACTACATTTGTAAAATTTGAGTGACATCCATATTTAGAAACCATGTTTTTTTAAAAAATATTTTTTAGTTGTAGATGGACACAGTACCTTTATTTATTTTATTTTATTTATTTTTTATGTGGTGCTGAGAATCGAATCCAGTGCCTCATATGTGTCAGACAAGCACTCTACTACTGAGCCACAACCCTAGCCCGCAACCACAGTTTTATGTGCAGCTTTTCTGATCAGTAAATTATTTAATATATTCTGTTATTTTTTTTAAAAAAATCATTTTTTTAGTTGTAGGTGAGCACAATACCTTTATTCCATTTTTATGTATGTGGTGCTGAGGATCGAACCCAGTGCCCCATGCATAGTAGGAGAGCACTCTACCCCTGAGCCACAACCCCCGCCCTAAATATATTCTGTTTTGATAATACATTCTGAAAGAACCTAAAATGTCATGAATAACTCACAAAACTTTGGAGCCAGTATTGTGAATCTTTACCATATTTGTTGCTATAAATAAACAGCAATGCACAGGTTTCCAATGCATTTGGAAAGTGGCACTGGAAAATGTCCGTGTACAGATCCTATTGGTGGGGGGACAGTCACCTTTGCTGCACTGAGCCTGCCTTCAATGGCTTTATTCACTTGAGCTAATTACAAAGGCATTTGTTTTTCCTACTCATCTTTGGGTCACCTGGCTACACTTGGGAAATATGAGAAGTTGCTATGGTGGTGTAGCAAATGCTGTTTCTAATGTCTACAATAGGTGTTCTTTACTTGGTGAAGCAAATGACCCATTGGCCTCGAATAAGGAAGCAATAGCTATGATTACAGAGGGGTAACACCTATATGTAGGGGCCAAAGAATTTCACGGATTTTAAAATGGCCTTCCTGTTTCCTAATCTTTTCATTTCTTGCTGTCTCTAACTCTTCATGTGATTGTCAGAAGGATTCTGAGAAGGAAGTTGATGAACCAGGTCTGGTGGCATTCATTAGTATCATATGACCTTTGAAAATTGTCTTTCAGAGATTGTTTTTATTTTTGGAGATGGATACAAAAACAAAATGCAACTTTCATTAAAGTATGTTATCTAATTGAAATAGAAATTTTTAGGGTGAGAGAGGATACGGTCTGATGAATTTTTCTTCTCTTCAGGAATTACCCTTGTGTGCCTGACCATTCCTGTTGCCTTCGGTATCTATGTGAATTATAGGTGGCCAAAACAATCAAAACTCATTCTCAAGGTAAGCAAGTGCACACACAGTTAGCACATTCTCAAATTCAGACACTTGAAAGATGGAGATGAATGGCAGGAACAAATGAGCTGATCGAACACAGCTCCACATTCTATAATTCAATTTTGCTTTTTTTTTTTTTTTTGCTACTGAGGATTGATCCCAGGAGCACTGTACCACTGAGCTACATCCCCAGAACTTTTAATTTTGAATCAGGGTCTCACTAAAGTTGCCCAGGCTGGACTCAAACTTGTGATACTCCTGCCTTTGAATCACTGGGATTACAGTCTTGCAACATCTTGCCTGGTGCAATTTCCTTATTTGTCCTGAGGTTTGAAATCCAGCTCTTGTATTTCTGTACTTTAAAAAAAAAACCTTTATGTATGTATGTGTGTATGTATGTATGTGGTAGTGAGGATAGAACCCAKTGCCTCACACSTGCTAGGCAAGTGCTCTACCACTGAGCCACAACCTCAGCCCATTCCTATATTTCTTTAAGCCTTGCTCTGTTGCTCCCACAGGTCAAACCAAGTCTTGCAACATTTTGGAAAACATATGGGCCTCTTAGTGACAGAAAAGCTAAGGTCTTAGATGTGGACAGAGAAAGTCCAAGACCTGCCTGTCCACTAGGCTTTACACAGGTGTTTTCAGGCACAAGCTGTTCAAGTGTTCATGAAGTGGAGCCCCAGCTTTAGAAACATGGCTGGTTCTTGGAACAGTAGGATGAAGGAAAGACTTGCAGAAGCATTCATGGGGACACCACTGACATGTGGTTTGTGCACATGAGCAAGGGCTGCAGACAGCATGAATAAGACTTTTAAGTGAAATCACCCAGAAAGCATTGAGGAGCCCTCCCATGGAATGATACTAACCAGAACTTACTCTACTACTCTTGTCTTTGCAGTGTTGCCTTTTGCCTGTTGGAGAAATGAGAAAGTGTCCTTGTTAAATGACTTTTAAAAATACCTAGCTAGTAGACCATGGTAGCGCACAGCCTGTAATCCCAGTGGCTCTGGAGGCTGAGGCAGGAGGATCATGAGTTCAAAGCCAGCCTCAGCAAAAACAAGATGCTACGCAACTCAGTGAGATCCTGTCTCTAAATAAAATACAAAATAGAGCTGGGATGTGGCTCAATGGTTGAGTGCCCCTGAGTTCAATCCTTGGTACTCAAAAAAGAAAAAAAAAGAAAGAAAGAAAGAAAGAAAAAACCTAGCTAAAGAGAGGCATTCTTAATAATGAAATCACCATCCTAGAGTATTTTCTATTTTCCAAATTATGTATCATTTTAGAAGATATAAGAATGTCATGTCGGGCTGGAGATGTAGCTCAATGGTAGAGCCCTTGTCTGCCATGTGTGAGGCCTGATTTCAATCCCCAGAACTTAAAAAAATAAGAATGTAATGTGGCCAGGCATGTGCCGGTTCATGCCTGTAATCTCAGCTATCTGGAGGCTGAGGCAGGAAGATCATAAGTGCAAAGCCATTCTGGGCAATTCAGTGAGAACCTCTCTCAAAATTTTAAAAGATGGGCTAGGGTGTAGCTTAGTGGCAGAGTGCTTGCCTAGTATGTGTGAGGACTTAGGTTCAATTCCCAGGCCGAAAAAAATAAAAGTAAAAAGAAGAAAGTACCATGTGCTGCTTTCATGAAGATTTAAAAAGTATTTTAGTTATATTTTACATTATCAACATATCACTTTATCACTTGGGATTAATCAGAGGTTTGTCAAGTATCAGTTAATTTAGTTTGAGGTTTATGGTTTGGTTTAGTTTAAGTTCCTGCTGTTGGCTCTACCTGACAAACGGATGCTGTTCCCTAATTTCATGTAAGACCAAACCATTTCTATGGTTCCTCAAAGAACATGAACAAGGGAAGAGGAGCCAACCAGCAGACCAGTCCGGTGGGTATAGACCACTGGAGGAAGAAGCCGTGCGTTGGGATTGTGTAAGGTTGATGAACACTGGTAGCTTGCTTTCACTCCTTCAGCTGTAGTCATGAAACATAGTCCTTTCCACATTTACTGTCATCGTTTCAACAGGAGAAAATTTCCAATGGTCAGTGTTTGTTTATGATTTTGTTTATAAAACAAGAGGAGTGAGTATGACTATGGAAACTTCTTACTTTTCAAGTACTCTATCTTGGATTGCTTTTCTTAAAACAGCACTTAACAGCAACAGAACAATCCTGATTCTTGTGTTTCCATAGCCTCTATTAGTCCATCAGCGTCATTAGAAAAGCAAGATGTACTTTACATGTGCCAGTTTTATTATCTGTAAAGAGCAGGTTTAAAACGTTTTCCCTTGGCAATTCCATAGGATTTGTGGCAAAAAAAATTTTAATAATGTGTTTGAATAAATATCTGAGAGCACCTTAGGTTGGTTTAATTATAAGTTTAGGATATCTTCATCTCTGTCTTTGGTCCTATTTTAATTTTAGATCTGACACATTTGCCAAATAACCTGTTTTTCTAATTTTGTCCTGGTGGATTTCAAACTTTGAAATCTCTTTTTGGTAAAATAATGAAGAAGGAATTTTCCAATCAGAGGCTTTCTTCGTGTGTTTTAGCATCTCCCTGTTAGGCAGTGGCTTGTGTGTCCCTGTGTCTGGACAGTAAAAACGACCCCAGAGCTCACCCATGACACACACAGCAGGGTGTTGTGTTTGTTCTTTGCTTTGGTTCTTCATGACTAAGGCATTACCCTGACTCCTTGTGAGTCAAGATTGATGCTGTCACTAGGAGCATAGTTTGCCATCCACTCAAGATGAGCTCGACCAGAGTCTGACTGTCCCTATATACTCTAGGCCACACTTTCTTCCTGTCTTATCTAAGACTTGAACTATTAGAGTTTTTTGGTTTTGTTGTTGTTGTTAACATTATTATTACTTTTGCTTTTGTTTATGTTAACAAAAATAAGAGACAGTAGGGCTGGGGATGTAGCTCAGTGACAGAGCACTTGACTGGCATGTGTGAGGTGCTGGGGTCCATTGCCAGCACACACCTCCTGACAAAAACGACAGTACTTATGTGGGAGGGGATAGAGTATTTCTCCCATGACATTAATCTGAGCTCAGATTGTCTTGTGAGGAACGGTGCTATTTCATTTGTGAGACAGCAGGAGGAAGCTGTTGGTTGTTGAAAAGTGGGGTGGGAAGTGAGGTGAATGGCCAGGCAGGGCCGACCACAGACAGTAGGTTACCAGAGCAGGGGGAGTCTTATGTGTATGTGGGAGTGTTGGATGCTGTTCTGGTCTGACCCCCTGAAACAGGCTTGGTCCAAACTATAGCACTCAACAGTAGGAATGCCATCTGTCATGAGGCCCTCACTAGAGCCAAGCACATGTAAATGCCTTAGTCTTGAAACTCCAGGACTGTGAGCTAAAATGAATCTCTTTTCTTTACAAAGGATCCAGAGCCTTAGGTATTTTGTTATAGCATTTAAAAATGGGCTAAGACAGAGCTCATTGTCCAAGTCTACTTATTTCATAATTTTGTCTAATCCATGAAAAAAACTATCATCAGATTCTTCTGGTCAGATCCTCCATTTGAATAGAAAAGATACTGGTCACTAAATAAAAAGACTGAGATTTATGTCAAACCCCACCCATTTCTAAATTAGCTAAGTCACTAGAACACTTTGGAATTTGGGTTTTTCCACTGTACAGTTAAATGCTCTTATCCCCAGTTTTGCTGTCAGTCAGTTATCTGTAGTTAACTACAGTGTAAAAACATTAGATGGAAATTTCCAGAAATAATCAATTCATATGTTTCAAATAGAGCACTGTTCTAGAGAGTGTGATAAAACCTTGCACCATCCTTCTGGAGACACGAAGTGTCCTTTGTCCATCGTATCCATGCTGTATTCACTGAGATGACACAGCATCCAGTTCAAGTTATAAAGACATCCAGGGAGCCTTTCCTGATGCCTTCAGCTCTACAGTCCTCCCTCTTGCATAGAAAGTGTTAGAAGGTCAATTGTCCTTATCACCCATGATTACCAGTCTGGACTTCCTCAGGACATCTCTTTTTGTCGTTTATATTATTGACTTACTATGCACCAGCTAGATATTCTTTGTTACTTTATGTACAGTCCATGGTCAGGAGAAACTCATTTGTTCTATTTTATTATTAGTTGTTGTTAATCTCCTCTTGTATCTAATTTATAAATTAAACTTTATTACAGGTATGTATATGTAGGAAAACCCAGAAAATATGGGATTCAGTATAATACGTCTGTGTTTTCAGGCATCTGCTGAGGGTCTTGGAACATGTCTCCTGTGGATATGGAAGGCCTACTATGAAATGAAATTGCATTCAGTGCTCTCTAAGTTCCCTCTTTAAATTGCTAAGTTTCAAGCCTTTTGAGAGCCTTAGTGGACTTTGCATCATACAGAAAACAAACAAACAAATAAACAAACAGCCCATGATGTTTACCTGTACTTATTTTATTGGTTTGCTTTAGGTTGGGGCCGTGGTTGGTGGGGTCCTCCTTCTGGTGGTCACCGTTGCTGGTGTGGTGCTAGCGAAGGGATCGTGGAATTCAGACACCACCCTTCTGACCATCAGTTTCATCTTTCCTCTGATTGGCCATGTCGCAGGCTTTCTGCTGGCACTCCTTACCCATCAGTCTTGGCAAAGGTACAGTTACATTATCCTTCACCTATTTTGAGGAAGGTAAATTAAATACGTTGCCACTGACAAGCCTGTCTTGCCTGGCTGCCTCAGGAGACAGGAAGAGCTTCAATGTACACGGCAGGTGGGACGGGACAGTTCAGCCCAGAGACAGTGAAGAGATCATGGTGATTTTAAATGTTAACTGCAGCAAAGGCCAAATTGACAGGAAGTTGTAATTTGTAAAATTAGTATTGGGGGTGTTAGTGCCATTTGTTGAGATCTGGGCACATTTCTCTTCATATTCAAATAATTAAATAGGAAGAATGAAGTCATTTCACTAAATGTAGAGATCACTTTAGGTCATGAACAAGTTTTAAGAGATTATATTCTTATCTGTTGTTTGTGCTAAATTTTTAAGAATTGCTAATTATGAGACACAGAGGAGAAAGGACATAAACTGAGAAATAAGATAGGAATTTCACTTAAAAATTATATTAGACTTTGATATATATGGTTTATAATATTATTGCAAATATTAAAAATGATAAACTTGCATGTCTCCATGCCTGCAATGAAATGCACATCATCATATAGTGATGGAGGGGAAGAAAACTGGAATAAATTCTCTGGAAGAAAAGTTAGTGTCATATCAACAGCCTTATAAATATGCATAATTGTTAACTCCACAATTTTACTTTTAAAAATCCGTTCTGAAGCTAGCTCTATTAGATGTGCACATGAATACTGATATGCTAAGACATTATTTGCAGGATTATTTATAAAAATCAAAATGGAAGCAATTGAAATATCTAACAATAGGAGATACTTAATTCATGTTGCATCCATATGATGGATATGATGCATCAATTTTAATGAATTTGGAAAATACTCAAGAGATAAATTTTAGTTAAAAAGGAATAGAGGGCTGGGTATGTTACTCTGTGGTATCCTATGTGCAATCCTCAATACTTCCCTGCAAAAAAGGATAGAAAATGATATTTGATTCCCATATTGTGAAAGAAAGCAAAAAGAATTTTATGCATGAAGAAAATATTGAAAAAAAAATGTACCATATGGTAATTTTGAGTAATGAGACTAAGAGTAATTATAGTTCTTTAATATTTTCTTGATTTATTTTCTAAGGTTTAAAAGTAAAGTTTGTTTACTTTTAAAATCAGAAAAAATTATTAAAGGAAAGCAAATTATAAAGTTGAATTCTGAAGGTGAGTGTTGGGAAATTTTTAGTTGGCTTTGTGCCAGTGTTCCACTGGGGAACTTTGAGCACTGGGAGAGGAATGGGCATGGCCCATTCACGAGGCATTGCATGGACAGCCAATCTGCATGGACAGGAGGGCTGGAGGAGATGAAAAGGAAAGTTGAGCTGTATGTGAAACAGTACAAATTAAATACTTGAAAACAAACAGGAAAACCCTAAATGAAAACCAGATGTTAAAATGGTTGTCTTAGGGGCTGTAGCCATAGCTCAGTGGTACAGCACTTGCCTAGTACGGGTGACGCACTGGGTTCGGTCCTCAGCACCACATAAAGTAAATAAATAAATGAAATAAAGTTATACAAATATATTTTAAAAAATGGTTGTCTTAGGTGAAAAGGCTCAGTAATTTTTTTCTATCTTTTTAAAAAGATATTTATTTAGTTTTAGGTGCACACACAGTATCTTTATTTATTTTTATGTGATGTGTTGAGGATCAAACCCAGTACCTCACACACATGAGGCAAGCCACTTTACCACTAAGCTATAGCCCCAGCCCCACCTTTTTTTTTTTTATCCTTTTTCCACATCAAATGCCTCTTCCACTCTTTCCATTCTGTAGTGTCGTTCCTCTGTGAAGCCTTCTCTATACAATTCTGCAACTTTTTTCAATTGCTACAGCCTGTTCCAGGCCCTCGATTTTGCTTTGCCACGTACTTCTACTGAACTTTTCCTCGTGTGTATCTGGTCTTTCCTTAGGGCAGGGTTCAAGAGGTCCTGCTCCACGGTGCCTCTTGGAAAACCATCCTGCAGAGCAGGCACTCAGCAAACAGCTGTTGAATGAATAAACACTTCTAGTTGCTTGAGCTCATAGTTTATCAGTTTGCATAAGAGCAAATGTTAGAACGGTGCTTATTGGTAATACTTAACTTTTGAAATTTTTTGTCATTGCCAGGTGCAGGACAATTTCCTTGGAAACCGGAGCTCAGAATATTCAGATGTGCATCACCATGCTCCAGTTGTCTTTCACAGCCGAGCACTTGGTTCAGATGTTTAACTTCCCGTTGGCCTATGGACTCTTCCAACTGGTGGATGGAGTTCTCGTTGTTGCAGGTGAATGGACTTTCATTGGGTAGATTTGACTAACAACCTAATTTACCAGCTCTTTTTTGGGATTCGAATTTGTATGTGCTGCCCCCTGAATTATATTTTTAGCAGGACATTTTGGGGGATAATAAGGTGCATAAACACAATACTTTGATACAGTGGAACTTTCACAGAAAAATATTTTTAAAAACACCCAAATAGGAATTTATAATTAGAACCAAATATGTTTCATAAAAACCAAAGCACAATCAGCATTTAAATTCCAAGATTTGTCAGGATAAGCTCTCCATGAACAATCATCGATCTCAAAAATGACATTGACCCCTGGTTTAATCCCTGGTGAAAGAAAAGAAAGAAGGAAGGAAGGAGGGAAGGAAGGAAGGAAGGAAGGAAGGAAGGAAGGAAGGAAGGAAGGAAGGGAGGGAGGGAGGGAAGAAATAAAGAATTTTATCTCTGAATAACATTTTATTTTCAAAAGTATGTTTTAAAAATTAAATGCTATGTCTTGGTTTAGAACTGATTATCTGGAAAATATATTTGTCAAATCAGTATTTCTGGCATCAAATAATAAAAATCACACAGAAAAAATAAAAAAAAAATGACATTGACTGAACATAAACATTTATTTGTTATGTCTTATTAGGGGCCTTGAGGTTTCCCAAATGCCAAGTTACTTCAATGTTTCTATGACTATGATTTATTTGCCAAATGGTTGTGGAATTTTTTCAAATATAAAACATAATACATATATAAGCATATTCACAAATATTAAAAATTCATACACATGCATACTACACACACCGTTTACCTTTCTATACAGCTAAAAGCATGTTATTTTGGAGTTGATTTAAGTTTAAAAACATTTACATACATACACACATATATATATATTTTGATCTTGGGCCATTATAAATTTTCACTGTTCTCAGGGAACGGGTTCTAAGTAAGACTCAATGATTACGGGTATAATTGATTATATACTGATTACTGATAATAAATATACCAATGCTAGCAGAATCAAAGTGAGATCAATGTTTTAGGGAAGAATTATGACTGGCTCATCCCCAGATACATCCTAGCAAGTGTGTGACTCAGTAAGCCCTCCACTGACCAACTGAATGAATGAATGACCAAGCTTTCTGCAGTCTGAAGAAAGAACCATTATGACACACTGAATTGTTTCTTTCCATGGTTTCCCTCTCCCCCTCTTTTTCCAGTGTATTTATACTTAAATGATGCAAAGCAAACTCCCCAAGTATAGGATAATGACACAGTGTCCCCGGATTATACCCCTTGCTAAAGTGGTGTTTAATAATCATATGTTTAATCACCTAGCATATCAGATATACAAGAGGAGACTGAAGAACAGACCCAGAAAAAGGAACCCAGATTGTGCAGAAGCCTGCCCTGACAAAAAATGCAGAGAGGCCAGTGCTTTCTTGGAGGTGCATGAAGAAGCTGCTGGAACCCCTGAGCCATCAGGACCAATGGATCGCCACAGGGCTCTGGAGCCTATTGGCCACATCACTTCATGTGAATAGTGGGGACTTGCTGGCCAGAGTGGTCCTCTGTCTTCCTCAGTGATGGGTAAAGACAGGGCCACGCCGATGCAATCTCCTTGGTTGGCAGGACCTGTGTGAATAGTTAAGTGTCAGATGTTAGAATACTTATATTTTTGTGTGGATTGTGCAATGTCATAGGATCACTTTTTGAGAGTGTATTCTGCCCATTTCAGGGAGTTTTGGGGGGTTTACACTGTTTTTTTCCTAGCTGCTGTGTGTGTTCTTGTTGTCCCATGAGGTGTGAATAGTGCCACCTGGCAGGAGGTAATGCCCTTTATTATGTAAAGTTGTCTCTTGTTTGGATTTTAATCTAATGACAGTTAGGACTCTGTGTAGAGGTGATGTCATCTCTGCCAGGCAAGGTAGGGCCTGGATCCACATAACTTCCTGACTTTGGGCAGGTCCTTGGGAGTACAAGGGAGGACACAGTTGTGAAAAATGGGGCCCTTTTCTAAATGATTATTTCTTAAGGGCTTGAATACCTTTTTGATTATAGATGTAATACAAGCTTAGAGGGAATTTCAAGTAAACAGGAGGTTAAAAAGTGTATGAATTCCTCATATTTTCACTCCCTAGAGATAGACATATGTCTTTCTAATCTTCATGTACATTTACTGAGTCATTCAAAAAATGTTCAATATATTCTGTCTTGAAAGTCATTTGATGACATATGATAGAACATCTCTACACTTCAGTTTGTGTTAACCTACCTCATTCTTTAGAACAGTGGCTGCATAGATATATTGCATTGCATAGAAGGACTATAATTTATTTAACCCATCTTTATAACTTTCAATGTATTTGGTATTGCAGTGCTGCTACACTACCCTTGCCTATGTGCATGCATTTCAGGAGACTCCATTCCTATGATTGGAATGGGCAGGCCCATTGCCCATAGAAATATTGGACAGATTGCTCTTTGGCAATGTGGCACAGCAGTCCCGAGAGGATCCAGTTTCCCATAGTTTCACCAGTCTAAGGAAGATTTTTTTTCTTTTTCTTTTTGGTACTCAGGTTTGAATACAGGGTGTTCTGCCACTCAGATACATCCTCAGCTATTTTATTTCTTATTTTGAGACAGGATCTCACTAAGTTTCCAAGGCTGGCTTCAAACTTGTACTGCAAAGAGTTTTGGTCACTTTGACTTGTGAAAACATCTCTTTAAAATTACATATTCAAAACTACAAGCAAAGTAGAGCATTTTCCATGATCATGTGCCCATTCATGTCCTTTGCCTGCTTTTCTGTTATATTTTTTCATGGTTGATTTATAGATTTTAACATGATAGTGACTATGTATATGTTCCATGTATTATCAACGTTTTACCTATTATGTATATTATCTCATTTTTACAAAGTGTCTCTTGTTGTACAATTTTGTATTTTTTACACATTCAGTTTTAGAAATCTTTTAAAAAAGTTATAAGCTGAGCCCAGTGGCACACGACTTAATCCATGCTACTTGGGAGGCTGAAGCAGGAGATCAAAAGTTCAAGGAAACTTAACGAGACCCTGTCTCAAATAAAATAAAATTTAAAAAGGGCTGGAGATGTAGCACTTGCAATAGCCACATGCAAGGCCCTGGGTTCCATCCCCATCAATGCACAAAAATAAAATTAAAAAAAATAAAGTTCAGATACTTCTGGATTCAGGAAGATTTTAAAATATTGACACAAGTTTTGAGGATATAACTCAGTGGTACAGCACTTGCCTAGTATGCACGAAGCCGTAGGTTCAATTCCCAGCACTGCCAAAAAAACTCCTCAAAACAGGACACAGTGTTAGATACTAAGGAATGGTGGAAACTGAGGCAGACATGGAAAGGTACACACTTCCACTGTGCATGTTTTCTTTGTCCTTATTAACAGGACTGAGATTTTGTTCAGTATTGCAAAATGCCTAGCTAAAAGTATTTTTTTTTTCTTGAAGTTAGAGGTGTGCATGTGACAAAATTCTTGCTAATAAGATTGAAGCAGAAGTCTGCTTATGGTTCCTGGGGAGTCTTGCTTTCTTGCCCTAGGCACCGACAGACCCTTTCTCCTTGTCAGTTCCTATTTCCTTTTGGATCATAGAAGTAATAGCAGATTCTAGATCATGAAGGAAAGATCAGGATAATTATAGAACTTGTRACTTATTTTTTTCCTTTTCATTCCTGGAGATTGAACTCTGAAGGTTTTATGCATGCTAGGCAAGTGCTCTTTCACTGAGCTATACTCCCAACCCTTTTAAATTTTGAGTGTCTTGCTAGGTTGCTTGGACAACCTCTAACTTGTGTTCCTCTGCCTCATCCTCCTGAGTAGCTGGGATTACAGGCATGTGCCTCAGTGCCTGGCAAGCTGTTGACATTCTTGAGCTATAGAATCAATCCTAGCCACAGCCAACTTCTGAAATTGTTTCCTTAAGGAAAGGAAATAAATCTTTCATTTGTGTAAGCACATTTGGTTGTTTTTTTGATACTTGCACTCAAACACATTCCCAAACCAGTGTATTAAAATTTTGTTGGTTTTAAAATTTTATGTGGGCTAGCCTATAATTTGTCACATTTATCTGCACCATGACAAGGTATCTTGAATATTTCTAAATTAAGGAAAATAGGAATCTTTTCTTTCATTATCAACAAGCATAACCGTGGTAAGCTGTTCTTTTAATTTCTTGGATTTATCACATTACATTTCAATAGCTAGTTATTTTTAAACGCAGAGATCTGGCAGGCTGCTCTGAAGCCAGATTTAAAAAAAGTCTGATCTCTTCTCAACACACATTTTTCTCCTGTTTATCATAACAATTCAGAAACATCTATACTAATGACATGTACCATAGTTTTGATTTTGAGATAAAGTTATGTTTTTAATTCTCCAGTGTTCAGGATTATACTAAGATACCATTTGTTTTTTAATTAACACATGTTCCTTGTACATATTAATGGGATTTAATGTTACATCTCCATACAAGCATACAGCATGCCCTGATCATATCCATCCACCCTTGCCCTCAACCCCCTTTCCCAGTCCTTAGTAAGTACCATTCTTTAAGGCGGACCTTTTTTTTTTTTTCTTTTTTGTTTTCACATACGAGGGAAATTGCAGTACTTGTTTTTGTGTCTGGTTTTTTGTTTTGTTTTTGCTTAACACAATGTTCTCTAGTTCCATCCATTTTGTTGCAAATGACAGGATTTCACTTTTCTTTGTAGTTGAATAATACTCTCTCATGTGTATAATACCATATACTTTTTTTATTCATCCATCTGTTGATGGGGCACCAAAGCTATTGTGAATAGTGCTGCAATAGACATGGTCATGCAGGTGTCCCTTTGTATGTAGATTTTATTTTCTTTGGACACCTACCCAGGATTAGGATACCCAGATCATATGATCATATGATAGTGTTTAGTGTTTTTGTGAAATCTCTATGATTTTCCTCATGGTGACTAAACAAATTTACAGTCCACCAACAGTTTATCAGTGTTTGTTTTCTTTACATCTTATCCAGCATTTGTTATTTTAGAATATATTTTGGTTCACTTTTATACATCTTCTATTAAGACTTGTACTTTCCCTTCTCTAGCACTGAGTTGTCACAGGGAAACATTTGTTCGGCCAACTACACTTTCCAGCTTCCTGGTACTTGGGGGCTGTCAATCAGCCAGTTCTTGCTGATGGAAGGAGTGACAGTGATGTGCTTCACTTCCAGTCCTGGCCTGCCTAATAGAACCCTCTCCACATGTGCTCTTTTTTCTTCTGGCTGTAGGAATGGAGATTCACAGGATGACCTTGGAAGCACATTTGTTAATCATAGAACTTCCATCAGCCTGAGTTCTTAAAAATGGAGGAAGGAGAGCTGCCCTGTTGGGTCGTTTGCCTGCCCAGATTTGTTATATAAACTAGAAATAAACTATTATGCTTGATCCACTAAGTTTTGGGTTTATGTTTTATAATACTTGGCTAATACAAGGTCTGTGAGGAGCTAGGCTGTCTTTATACATTAATGTGATATTTGAGTTTTTTCTGTGCCTGGGCTCTGTGGCCTCTTCTTTCTAAACAGAGTGGTCTTAGCAAGTGACTCATACCATTCCATGGTGGTGGAGCCAGATCCCACGATGCAGGCAGTAATGGGTTTATTATAACCAAGTTTCCACTCAGGGGTCATAAACCTAAACCCAATTTTTTTTTTTCTCAGTTTCCATTTCCTAGTTACATTCTTTCCAGAGAAAGTATCCTCCAGCTTTGCCCTCTCCCATCTGTGCTGACTTCTGATGGTAGCTAATTGCCCTCAGCTGTACTGGCTCTTGGAGCTTTGCCTTGTGGCTCCACATGCCCAGGAAAACAAGGCCTCAGGATTCCAACTCAGAACAGAGATTTCCAAATGTTTTTAAAGTAACAGAAATCTTTTTTTTTCTTTTCCCAAATGATAATTTTGTTTACAATTAAAGTTTATAAAAGAAGTCTTCCGATTGAAGTGGGAATGGTGGTGGTGAAGCTTCTCTTGCCAGATTCAGATCCCATTCTGAGTAGGAGCCAAACCTGTTACTTGGCAAGGGAGCCACCAGGAAGCTTTATTTATTTACTGATACTGTCTTCTGCCTTCAAATAGCCTCATCTCCTTAGGAACAGGTCCCAGTAAATCACTGCACTTGGTTAGGATCACAAATTCAAATCAATTAGCTCCAAATTGATATAATCTTATGATGAACCAGGGAGTGTTCTGGGTCTTGGAGTGGTGTCAGGGCTGAATGGAAGGAGACAGAATTCAGATTTAGCAAAACAAGTTCAATATTGAGAATCACAGAACTGTAAACTAAAGCAGGCATTCGGAGGCTGATCTGTTTTCCTTCCTATTTGGCAAAACCAAATATAAACCTCTCAGGCAGTACAACATTGGTTTCCTTGATTCTCCTTTTGGTTAACTGACTATTCTAAGTATTACTTCAAACAGGTCTTAAAATACTCTGATTTATGTATCAACTAAGTGTAGAAAGTGGGCACCACTTACAGGGAGGTAGAAGTTTCTTCTACTTAGCTTCTGTTAAGCTAGACATGACCCTCATGAAAGTGCTTAATCTACAGGATGATGACAAACTCCCATTCTCTGTTGCCTGGACCGACTGGGACCAGCTGGGGAGATGGGAAGTTGGAGTCCAGAGGTCACTGGCTTCCCAGAGGACTGTGTGTTGTGATAAAAAAACTGAAAGTGTCTGTCTACACAGT